TTCGCCCTACATCATATCTTGTATACTTTTTATCCTCTTTTTCTTAAAAAAATGTATTACCTATAACTAAAAAAACCCTTTCTATACAAATTTCCCAATCAAAGGGCTCCCATTTTCATTTACACCGGGCCCCACCCCAAACTTACCTACCACACTCTGTCTAAATTTTTCTCCCTACTTTAGCATTCAGATCCCCTACCACAATTACCCCTCTCATTTGGGTTTTAAAAAAGGCTCCTATACATTAAACTTAACATCTCCCAAAATCCCCTTTCTCTTCCTCTGCATTCCTCTCTTCTCCAGGTGCATACACGTTTATTATGACCCACTTCTCGCACCCAAACCTTTACTTTAATCCACATAATTCTTGAATTTACAACATTAAATATTCTCTTTTTTCTCCTTCCATAACTGATCATTCAACATTACTGACTACCCCTTCCTTTGCTCTAAACTCTCTCAGATACTCCAGATTTAATCCCATTTATTTCCCCCACACCGAAACTTCCCCTAACCCCCTTCAGCTTTTTTTTCGCTTGGGGGCCAGGACATCAAACTTCTTTTCATTCATAACACAGCAATCATCTGTTTCTTGTCCCCCCCCCACTACATCCACGCACATTTAAGCACCCCAGTTTTATAAAGTTTTTCTTCTTCTCTTTTTTAGTAAAGTCTACAGGAGAAGGGGTTATGCCCATTGCTCCCGGCATTTTAGTCGCCTCATACGACACGCATGGCTTACGGAGGAAAGATTCTTTTCCACTTCCCCATGGACAATAGAAGAAATAAAGAGGAACAAGAGCTATTTAGAAAAAGGAGAAAAACCTAGAGGTATGTATATATATATGTATGTGCGTGTCTGTGAAGTGTGACCAAAGTGTAAGTAGGAGTAGCAAGATATCCCTGTTATCTAGCGTGTTTATGAGACAGAAAAAGAAACCAGCAATCCTACCATCATGCAAAACAGTTACAGGTTTCTGTTTCAGTCATCTGGCAGGACGGTAGTACTTCCCTGGGTGGTTGCTGTCTACCAACCTACCTATATTATTTATTTATATTTATTATTATTATAATCAAAAAGAAGCGCTAAGCCACAAGGGCTATACATCATTATTATAATCAAGGGGAAGCACTAAACCCATAGAATTATATAGCACCTGTGGGAGGGGATGGAAGGTATTCAGGCTTAATTCAGGGAACTGGAGCACAGATCCAATTCCCTAGATCAAGAATCCCTCACCAGCATCAAGGAACTTCCCTTGAGGGAATACTCTCCTACAATGTTACCTCGTATTCTGATGCCTCATACAATTGAAGTGGACTTCCTGTAGAAGCCTGGTCTGAGACTGGGTCACAGAGGCTGTGACCCCCCAAATCAACTTTTTTTTCAGCAAGTAGGTAGATCGTCTTTCTTTTTGGATATTTATTACAATTTGCCAGATTGATAAATTTTTGGCCTTTTTTGTTTCCAATGTCTGTCATGGTAATGTCACATTACTTCTGCAAAATTACTATAGTAGTACTCGCAAAAAACTGCCAGTCCCTCGTGGGCTTTTCACTGTAACAAGGCCTTCCACTGGCTGGCTTATTGTAGTGTACTGATGGAAAGTGCTAAACCTGAAAGGCCACTTAACACTGTAAGAGAGGTGAAAGACATGGAAGGAAAGGAGTGGTAGTGTTGAGGGCACATCAGCAGAGGGGACAAGCCACTCCCCCAAATTCTTGTCTTATAATTCTCAAGAGTGAAAATGTATATCTCTAACTATGTAATTCTAACTGTGTGTACTCCAGTACAGTATACATACTGCTGTTCAATTATTTTTTTTACACTGTACAGTATTTCATTCCTATCATAATCATAGAAGACTAGAGTACATTATTTTGAATCAAAGGAAAAATATAAAGACTGATCCTATATAAAAAACAATTTTATTCCAAATATCATTTTAAAAAAAAGTAATCATACACTACTTCTCAATGGTGTAAAATATAATTCACAATATACAAACTCTTCCCCCATGACCTATGTAAATTTATTTAATAAGTGGCAAAACAATAAATTTCAATCCTATGTTCAATCAAATTAAAGTGCAGATTTCAAAGTCTAAAATTATTTAAGAATGCTTGTTTAATTCGTGTTACATGTAATATATATTTAAGATATACAGTATAAGGAGGTAGCAAGTATAGTGCTTAACTTATCAAGCTAAATACAGTAACTGGAGTGCAATCTCTCAATATGTTACAGTTAATATAGACAAGCACAATAATTTTGGAAGTTTACCTGCTAATTACATGTACAATTTCTCAGCAAATCTCAGGTAAGTATAATAAACATTGTGTTTTCAAAACGGGGTAGACGAAAAGAACTTGCATTTAGCTTGTAATTACTAACAAACCAAATAAACAACTGTTTACCGATCTACATACTTTATTGTAAAGAGCAACGATAACCAAATTTTTTAAAAAGCATAATGTGAAATTTCACCACACACAAATAAATAAATGAAACAAACCCGACTGCACATCACACAAAAAAGTCAGATGTGGAAAGTGTTAATATATAATTTTTTTTTGGTAAATTTAGCCATTCCAACACTGGAAGAAACTCAATCTCTCGGAATACAATATTAGTTTGGGAAACACTTAGACAACTACAGTGACTAATTATTCCTTTGGTCTTAAGAGAAAAAAAACAACCCCAAATCAATTAACTTTTGAACTTCCCAAAATAAGTTTCTGGCACACACACATACATGAGGAGCAATTATCTTATTTCTATCAATATATATGGTACTTTTTAAAGCCTTTTTCCCGGGGTAATAAACTTTTTATTTCCCCACAAACTTTTTTCTGTTAAGTTTTAAAGGCTACAGTAAACAGATAGACATACAAAATAGATTTTAAAATTTTTGGAATTTTTGCTAAAAATCCTCTGGGGAAATTCCCAAAAACAATCAACCTAACACCTTTTAAAAATACAGTACATAAACTTTGGGAAAATTTTTTAATTTAAAAGAAAAAATAAACACAATAGATTTTACAGTTTTTTTTGTTTTGCCAGCAACTAGCTTATTCTTACAAACCCAAATTTTAAAATTTTAAAACAAATTTATTGTCATTGTTATCAAAAATTCCTTTTTATGTTAGGGCATAACCCCCTCATGGATAGGGGTCCTGTTTGAAAGAAAGAAAAAATAGTAGTGTCATGAGATAGGTAATTACTAAAATTAATAAATATTAATATATAAAAAAAAAAAAAATAAAAAAAAACCCAAGTTGGTGGGTGAGTTCTATAATTTGTTATACCAAACCAATTCCCAAAACATTTGCCTAGAATGCAGCATGTTAATTTAGCTATCATATACACATCTCACCCTGCTTTGGTGGGATACAGCCAATGTGCAAAAAAACAAAAATTACACATTATACCCAAATACCTTCCTAAGCACTGCTACTTGTTCATAGCATTTTATCTATCATATATATACAGCCTTACTGCTTACTTGTTGTAAGGTATCAGAAAGTTTGGACAAGTGTTGCATTATTAAGAATCCACAAAAGAAAATTGAAGGTACAAAACAAGATTATAATAAAATTATAAGAGGAAATAATAAGATATAATAAACTGGATAAAAAAAATTGATGGCAAGGAGAATAAGTTCTGTCAATTTCAAATATCCTGTAATGTGAAAACACTCTACAGAATATGGTTTTATAAAACAATGATACCCAATGTTTTGCTCTTTTTGCAATTTACCAAATGGGGAGGGGTACAAGACCCATGTGTTGGGTTTAATTTTAAATGAAATGATTAAATATGAATGTTTGAGACTGTAATTATCAATTCCATATGTACTTCAGTTAAGGACTCTCATTGACAAGCAGTTGTAAAAATACTGGAAGAAACCATTAGAGAAGTGGCTAAAACACAAAAAAATCTACCAATTAAAAAACAGTTTGGTTTTCATTCAACAAATTCCTATATACAGTATATCAAAGCTATACAATTACTACTGCAGTCAAAAATTACTCAAGGACAAAATGACTGGGAAGCTTGCATTTATGCAGACTTCAAGAAAGTTTTTGATATGATTTCTCCATAAAGGATTAATATGTAAAAATAAAATATAGGAGATACAGAAAGCAAACTACCACAATGGATAATAAAAAAAATTATTTTTGAAAGGAAACATGTGATGAAAGTTAAAAAGAAAAAAAAGTCCTCATGGGAAAATGACAAAGGATCTGTGCTTGTCCAGATAATGTTTGGTAACTGTATTCAAACAGTAACTAACATATGAGCTCTGGATCATCTTTATTTAGAGCTGTGACAAGTGCAGGCATATGTTCATGACACCCATAACCCCACATGCCTGCAGTGGGCATGTCAAAGTTTATGTGTGTATACGGCCTCTCCTACAGCAAGAAGAGGAGCAGGGTGCATGGAGCATCTTAGCCGTTTGTGCTGCAAGTAAAGAGATTGTCATCGATGATGCGCACAATAGAACATGTAAGTTTGATGACGTCTTTGAAGAAAGCTGTGCACAAGTAGTTTATAGGAAGGCAGTGGCACCTCTTGTAACCAAAGTAAAGGAGGATCACAATGCCACTATTTTTGCATATGGTCAAACAGGATCAGGAAAGACCTTTACAATAGGTAGAAATCCATGAGGTGCAAAGGAAGATGAAGAAATTTTACAAAGAGCATTGCATACCCTTCTTGATGTGAGTGAGACTTCCCAGCCCTCCCAAGACCTAGAGGGTAGGAGCTCATAGTATGTCACAGTCTCATTTATGGAAATTTACATTAAGAAGTTATTTGACCTCTTGACTCCAACTAGAGTACCACTGAAGACCAAACTCGGACTTGGTGGAGCTGTGTCACCAGTTGCAATGATGGAGGAGAATGTGAAAAGCATTGAGAAAGGTTTGGTACTTTTGGGAAAGAAAAATAGTTTACGAAGTGTTGGAGTCACAGCGACGAATCAGCATTCTTCATGCTCCCATGCACATACATATACCTTACATTAATAAATGGAAATCATTCTGGATGCCTTAAACTAGTGGACTTAGCTGGAGCAGAAGGTGTTGGATGAGCACAGACGTCCAGACTGCAGTTTGAAGAAGGTATCAACATTAATAACGATCTGTTAGCACTAGTTAGTAACTCAGCAGATAGTTTTGCTTCTTACAGGGAATCCATACTGACAGGACTTTTTAAGGACTCTCTTATTGGGAGCAGCCAAACAGTCTTGATTGCTTGTGTGAACCCAGCAAGTTTCAATACACATGAAACCATCAATACATTACAATTTGCTGAACAAGCTAGAAATATCAGGATGAAGCCTCAAGTGTTTTCCTCTGTTAAGCATGGGTTGAAACGATGTTTTGATTGTTTGTCAGCCACTCCGTTACCGCAAAGAGGAACACTGTCTTCACTGAACAAAACAAAACACAACAATACAGTGTGTACACCAGTATACAAGAAAGCATGACAATTGTTTACCCTGCTCAATGCCACCATTAATACTCTGTTAGTCAGCCGTAAAGAAATTCTAAATAATTCTCTAAGAGCTGGTTGGGATATGCCACCACCTACATCTATGTTCTTCACCCTCAAACCAACTATTTTGAGGATGACTTGCCCTCAAGATCTTCAACTGTTTCAGCCATAAATGATACAGAGGCTCATTCATCCATGCTTGGCAAAAGTAAAAAAGATCAACTAAGACAAGAAAACCCAATCTTCAACACCTACAGATTCTGAGGATGGAAAATCAAGTGATATCTCAGATGATAATATTCTGGGAACGTCTATTGTTCATACTCTCTTAAATAATCTGGAGCTGCAAGATTACTTATCAAGTGCTATTAAGAAATAAATAAAAAAGCATCAACCAAGAAGTACATGCTACAGTGCTTTGCCTGTAAATCAACCTGTGACAAAGTTTTCAAGATAAAGAAAATAATCAAGTACGACAACCTCTAGGAAACATAAATGCACAAGAAAGCAAGACCAGCCACTTAAAGGAGAATATTGATTTATCACAGATTACTGATGAAGCATTGTTATATGATACTAATCAAACATTAGTCATGGACAGAGTTAATGAAGAGCTGTATGGTCTTCCTGTAACAAGCACAGCATTAAGGGATAAGAGACATTCAAGAAAGTCTACAAGATTATCAACCAAACAGAATATCAACAGTGTAATGCTTAAGAAAGTTTCACTCAAGCCAGATTCTAGTAAAAGCTCTTCTTTATTCTTTGACATTGAAAGAAATGCAACAAATTCTTTAGGTTGTGAGAGCATTAGCAGCACTGCTAATACTTCCAACAATGACTCTTCACCTGTCCTAAGGTTTCCTAAACTGAGAATAGAGCCACATTCAAAGAATGAAGGTAATAAATCAAAAGAAAATGTTGAATTGAAAAGTTCAGATAATACATTGGTACAAATAGATAAAAAATTAGAACAAGAAAAGAGCAGATGTATGGAATAGGAGATAGGTTGCTGAAAGCAGTGAAAAGTTTTTATGAGGATAGTGAGGCTCAGGTTAGAGTATGTAGGAGAGAGGGAGATTATTTTCCAGTAAAAGTAGGCCTTAGACAAGGATGTGTGATGTCACCATGATTGTTCAATATATTTATAGATGGAGTTGTAAGAGGAGTGAATGCTTGGATGTTGGCAAGAAGTTTGGGGTTAAAAGAAAAAGAATCTAACACAAAGTGGGAGTTGTCACAGTTGCTCTTTGCTGATGACACAGTGCTTTTGGGAGATTCTGAAGAGAAGTTGCAGAGGTTGATGGCTGAGTTTGGTAGAGTATGTAAAAGAAGAAAATTGAAAGTGAATACAGTGGACCCCCGCTTAACGATCACCTCCCAATGCGACCAATTATGTAAGTGTATTTATGTAAGTGCGTTTGTATGTGTATGTTTGGGGGTCTGAAATGGACTAATCTAGTTCACAATATTCCTTATGGGAACAAATTCGGTCAGTACTGGCACCTGAACATACTTCTGGAATGAAAAAATATCGTTAACCGGGGGTGCACTGTATAAGAAAGAGTAAGGTGATGAGGATAACAAAATAATTAGGTAATGAAAGACTGGATATCAGGTTGGAGGGAGGGAGTATGGAGGTGAATGTATTCAGATATTTAGGAGTGGACGTGTCAGCAGATGGATCTATGAAAGAGGAGGCGAGTCACAGAACTGATGAGGAGAAAAAGGTGAGTGGTGCACTGAGGAGTCTGTGGAGACAAAGAACTTTGTCCATGGAAGCAAAGAGGGGAATGTATGAGAGTATAGCTATACCAATGCTCTTATATGGGTGTGAAGAATGGATGGTGAATGTTGCAACAAGAAGGCTGGAGGCAGTGCAGGTGCCATGTCTGAGAGCAATGTGTGGTGTGAATATTATGCAGAGAATTTGTAGTTTGGAAATCATGAGGTGCAGGACTACCAAAACTATTATCCAGAGGGTTGAGGTGGTCTGGTCATTTAGAGAGATTGGAACAAAGTAGAATGACTTGGACAGCGTATAAATCTTGAGGAGAAGGAAGGCAGGGTAGGGGTCGTCCTTGAAAAGGTTGGAGGGAGGGGGTAAAGAAGGGTTAGTGGGCGAGGGGCTTGGATTTCCAGTAAGCCTGCGTGAGCGTGATAGCTAGGAGTGAATGGACACAAATGTTTTTTGGGACCTGATGAGTTGTTGGAGTGTGAGCAGGGTAATATTTCATGAAATGATTCAGGGAAATGTTTAGCCGGACTTGAGTCCTGGAAATAGGAAGTACAATGCCTACACTTTAACCCTTTCAGGATCGAGAGGCCCTCACCTAAACTTGTTCTCAGGGTCGAAAATTTTTCGGAAAAAAAATTTTTCTTCTTATGAAAAGATAGAGAATCTTTTCCCGATCATAACACCACCAAAAGTATGAAATTTGATGGAAAGCTTACGGAATTATGCTCTCGCGAAGTTAGCGGTCTCAACGATGTTTACGGATCGGCGATTTCGCCCACTTTGAGCCCCATTTTTGGCTAATTCCAATGTACTAGTCGACAAAAATCATAATTATTTTGCTAGAATTCCATTTTTTCTATCAAATGAGTACAAGAAACCACCCATTTACCAATTTCAACTATCCAATAAAGTGGTCAGAAATTAGCAAGTTTGCCAATTTCACACAAATTTTCAAAAGATGCCAATTTCCAAATAGGGTCCAGAATATACAAGACAAACATTCCTGGCACTAAAATAACATTTCCACTGTTCATTAGTCATGTCCTCAGGCCCCTCTTACATTTCTTTTGCTTTCCACTTTGAATTTTTATTCTCACAAAAAATAGAAGATTTACTGTTATGCAGACTACTGCATTAGTGTAGAAATGGTATAAATAATATCAGCGCACTTGTGAAATAATATTAGACTCACCAGTTGACGCGTATTGGATGCTTGGCATGATTTATTTACTTTTGAACTTTGGCAAAAATCGAACATTTCTGCTACTTTGAGCTCAATTTCAAGGTACTTTTCATTGTGAAACCAATCAAAAATCATCTCAATTTCTGTAATATGTCTTCCATTCTATAAAATGAGACTAGGAAAACTAGAATACAACCATAAATACCATACGAAAATACAGTGCAAAGTCGCTGTTTTAAACCAAAAAACACGGTCAAAGTTTTTTTTTCTCAATGCGCACTGTGTGCTGCAGGATTTTTTTTATACTGTGCACACTGATCACATAGACCCATTCTTTCATATGTAGGCCTACCAGCTTTCTCTCGCTAGATTTGAAGGCGCTAGAATTTAGGCGTACTAGTACATCAATAACCCTGGTGCGTAAGCCGTACTAGTACGTCGGAAACCCTGAAAGGGTTAAAGGAGGAGTTTGGGACACTGGCAGTTTGAAGTGACTATCTGAACTGTCATATCTGGGCGCCTCTGCAAAGACAGTGATTATGTATGAGTGATAAAATGAACAAATGAGGTGATAGACAAGTGATAGAAATTAATACATTTTTCTTGTAGATTAGTGCTATTTAATGGAAATTAAGAAAAAAAAAAAACATTTTAATTCATATTCACATAATGCAGAGTTTATTACTGCATATACATGCATATACATGCAAAATTTAAGACTGAATTATATTCCTAAGCTGCGGTATATAGAAAATTCCTCACTTTATAACAAGTGGTGAATATCGCATCACCAGTTTCAGACCAAACAAAGAGCCACGCACTATGGAAGATACAATACAATTCTTTCATTTACTAAAATATCATAGTGTACTTAATCTGATAAACATAATGCAGTCAGCTTGTGGTAGTTAAAATAGTTTTTCATCACTAATTAGAGTATTTTACATATACAGTATACTATGACGAAAAGCATACCCAACTAGAAAACCATATACATATACATATACATATACACATACATATATATTTTTACATATACATACACACACATTTTTTTTCAACACATCAGCTCTATCCCACTGAGGCAGGATGACCTTAAAAGAAAAAAAAAACTTTTCTTGTTAAGTTTAGTAATTTATACAGGAGAAGGGGTTACTAGCCCCTTGCTCCCAGCATTTTAGTCACCTCTTACAACATGCATGGCTCAGAGAGAGGAAGAACTCTGTTCCACTTCCCCATGAAGATTAGATGAAATAAAAAAGAACAAGAACCATTAAGAAAACAGAAGAAAACCCAGATGGGTATGTGTATACAGCCTCTCCTCACTTATTGACATAATCGTTTACCAACGACTCGGACTTACGACGGGCTCTCTGACCATTATGCATACCTAAATAATGCATATTAGAGCTGATTTCCTCTATTCTGTTTATTACAATACAGTGCACCACTGTATAAACATTAAAAAATATACTAAAAAGGTTATAAATGGTACAAAGGTGACATGAAAACAATATCAAAGGTGGTTGACACAAACCCACTACCATTATACGTATTATGCTCCTTGCTTAGCAAGAAATTCGTTTACCGACGTGGTCTTAGGAACAGAACTCTGTCATTAAGTGAGGAGGATATATGTATGTATATACAGTGGAACCCCAAATATTGGCTGCTGTGCTTATCGGTCGATTCGTATTTAGGCCAGTTTTTGGGCGGAAATTTTGCTCCGTATTTCGGTTGGTGCCTCGTAAATTGTCCGTATTATACATGTCAGCCCGCCTCCTGCCGGGATGCCACACGTAGGTGAGTCAGTCTCCCTGTGTCTCTTGGCAAATGAGCATATACTCTGTGCATTCATCCAAACATTTCCATAACATCCTTTGGCTTCTGTGCTTGTTCATTAAGTGCGACTGTGAAATAAGCCACCATGGTTTGAGGGTTTGAGGCTGACCCTGATGACCCTATACCTGTTGTGGAATCTACTGTCTTTGGGGAAGTCCATGGGGTTGGATGTGTGTGACAAGGATGTGGAAGAGTTGGTGGAGGACCACAGGGAAGAGCTAACCACTGAAGAGCTGCAAGACCTTCAACTCGAACAGCAACAGGCCACAGCTAAGGAACTTGCTTCAGAGGAGGAGGAAGAGAGAGGGAAGGAGGTGCCTTCTTCAGAGATTAAGGAGATTAGTGCAATGTGGAGTAGGGTGCAAGCTTTTGCTGAGATATATCACCCTGACAAAGCTGAAACAAGCCATATCTGCAACATGTTCAGTAACAAAACCTTGGCCCACTTCAGGCAAATCTTAAAGAGGCACCAGAAACAGAGCTCTCTGGACAGATATTTTGTGTGAAAGGGGTCCAGTGACTCTCAAGCTGGTCCTGGTGCCATTAACCCTTAAACGGTCCAAAAGTATATATACGCTCTCTTGCGTAGCGCCCCAAACGCATATATACGTTTCATTTGTCATTCATTCAACATTGGCACAATATGCCTGAGTCGCCTAGACATGAGAGAATGAGTGTGCGCACTCAATGTGTGCCATATGAAAAAATTGGGGACGCCTGGGTACCAAACGCTCTTTTTTCCTATAAAAAAAAAAAAATTTTCCTATAAAAAAAAAAAAAATTTTTTTTCTCAAAATATTCGGTGTGCTGCGCGAGAGAACGTATATATACGTTTGGACCGTTTAAGGGTTAAATGACAAAGACGAGAAGTAACCCCAGAGAGGGACCTGTTACCTGAAGTCATTATGGAGGGGGATTCCCCCTCCAAACAATAACCCCAACTCCTTCTCCCATGCTCGTCTTCTTCCATATGCCAACAAGTCTTCAATAAGCTATGTAATGTTTATATATATATATTTTTTTTAACAAGTCGGCCATCTCCCACCTATATTTATTTATCTATCATTGTTTTGTGTATATAACGGATTAACTGTATTTACATTAATTCTTATGGGAAATATTACTTTGAATTTAGGCCGACCTTCTGGAACAGATTACATTCGATATTCGGGGTTCCACTGTGTATGTATGTATATGTATGTAGTATATATATAGTATATACATCTTTCTTTCAACACACCGGCCATATCCCACCGAGGTGGGGGTGGCCCAAAAGGAAAAACGAAAGTTTCTCCTTTTACATTTAGTAATATATACAGGAGAAGGGGTTACTAGCCCCTTGCTCCTGGCATTTTAGTCGCCTCTTACGACACGCATGGCTTATGGAGGAAGAATTCTGTTCCACTTCCCCATGGAGAATATACTATATATTCTTCTTTCTTTCAACAAACCGGCCGTATCCCACCGAGGCAGGGTGGCCCAAAAAGAAAGAAAATTCCCATATAGAAAATACTTTCATCATTCAACACTTTCGCCTCACTCACACATAATCACTGTCTTTGCAGAGGCACTCAGATATGACAGTTCTTCTTTTAACAAACTGCCCATATCCTACTGAAGCAGGGAGGCCCAAAAAGAAAAACAAAAGTTTCTCTTTTTAACTTTAATAATATATACTGGAGAAGGGGTTACTAGCCCATTTCTCCCAGCATGTTAGTCACCTCTTGCGACATGCATATCTTACGGAGGAAGAATTCTGCTCCACTTCCCCGTGGAGATAAGTGGAAATAAGCAAGAACAAGAACTAGTATTAAGAAAAACAGAAGAAAATCCAGAAGGGTGTGTGTATATATACGCTTGTACATGCATGTGTAGTGTGACCTAAATGTAAGAAGCAGTAGCAAGATGTACCTGAAATCTTGCATGTTTCTGAGACAGAAAAAAGACACGAGCAATCCTACCATCATGTAAGACAATTACAGGCTTTTGTTTTACCATCCTGCCAAGTGAGTGTAAAACGAAAGCCTGTAATTGTTTTACATGATGGTAGGATTGCTGGGAGACGGCTAACTTGTTAAAAAAAAAAAAATGCAAGATTTCAGATATGTCTTGCTTTTCTACTTACATTTAGGTCACACTACACATGCATGTACAAGTATATATATATATACACACCTTTCTGGGTTTTCTTCTATTTTTCTTACTAGTTCTTGTTCTTGTTTATTTCCACGTATCTCCACAGGGAAGTGGAACAGAATTCTTCCTCTGTAAGCCATACGTGTCGTAAGAGGCGACTAAAATGGTGGGAGCAAGGGGCTAGTATCCCCTTCTCCAGTATACATTACTAAAGTTAAAAAGAGAAACTTTTGTTTTTCTTTTTGGGCCACCTTGCTTCAGTGGAATACAGGCAGTTTATGGAAAGATATGTGTATACTGTACTGTGTTGTATATGTATACAGCATTCACTAAGAGTGCATGTTTTTTGATGAACAGCTTAACTCCATGACTGCCCACACACGAAATCAAAATTATCTTTTACATTCTATATAGTATAGTAATACTCTGAATCAAATTAAAGTAATTTTCTCTGCTATATACCTCAGAAACCTTTTATGACCAACTTTAATGTGTAGATTAATACAGTATATCAATAATTTTAGTGCTATCACATTGTTTTAAGGTCATTAAATTTAGGGAATCTGATCAAGAAACTCCTTGATGTAGCATTTCTGAGGTTTGTTACTGAAAAAACTGATTTTATAAACAATATTTAGTTTCGATAAACAATTATGCTGAAGCTTACAGACTTCATTTGTAGCAAAACTTCTCCCACCCAAACCTATCCAAGTGGCTACTATTATACTACAGTCTTTTAATGTTAAATTATAAATAGTATACGATTTACATGATGAAAATGATGCATGCTTGATCAATTTTTTCATACAAGCATACAATGCACTTACTAAATCATAATTATGCATCATTCAAATAGAGAAGTCAGAGAAAACATACCATCAGATGGTTGTGATAACTTTGTTCTTCCTATTTTGCAAATTAAAAGCAGAAGCTGAATAAGCTTTCATATGGCTGAGCATCAATCAGCCATAGGAAAAATACATAAAAATTAGTTCAAGCCAATGTTGCCTTTTTATTATTTTCTATTTATATTTTGAAATGTAAGTGAAAGCTGATGGAAGACAGCCAAGGGACGAAGGAGTAAACAGATCAATCACCACAGATAAAACCATACTGGTCTTCACTAAACTAAATCAAAGCCAAAAGTTTACCTTCTGAATTAAAGTTAGTAATATAAAACTGAAATGCAATAAGCATCATTTGTTTGCACTAGTCAGTCAAAAAAAGACCTGAAAGTTACAAAATATTTCTATAAACTGGCACTTCATATTCAATCATAAAGCAGATTTTTATACACACTCCAACAGCAGGTACTGAAGTATAACACTAGATAAACTACTCCACACAGCAGTCTTACTAAATGTTTTGCAACAATCTCACAAGCAAACCTAAAATTAACTATGGTGCCTTTCACTCTTCACACAATTTTACATACAGTAATGCCCAAAAAAGTCTGCTTTATGCTGCTATATACTCCTTTATAAGTTAGGCTATAAAGCATGCAATGCTGCCAGTCAAAATCTCTAAACTGTCTAGCTGTTCTGTGGTTAACTTCACCCACTTAGCACTTGAAAAGAATATGAAGAAAAATACTGTAATGATTACCCCTAACTCAAAACAGGTACAAATTATTTTTTTTTTGTTTGAAAGAATTTCCTGCAATATGAAGAAACTTTAAGAGCAAATTTGCATATGATTTTACTTTAGTGTCTGATGATCTGCAGCATTATATATCTCTTCATCATCTCCATCATCTGCAGCTAGAGGAAACATCTCTTGATCATCGCTGTGTGACAGTACTCTATATTTTCTTGTTGCACGGCGGCGACGTAACCTGAGGAAAGACATCATGAATGTGCTGAGTTCACACTGAATAAATTAAAAAATAATGAAATTGGTGCCCAGGACCTCCCTCTCAAGAACTTTTTGAGAACTTTCTCTAGCAAATCACAAATCTTAATATACAACTCAATGAATGCTTAAATTAGTACAGTAATTATTAAATTGTTGAAAACATTTTCTGTATCTTGCCAACAAAATTAAGAGAAATCATAACAATTAATTCATTAATCATTATTTTTCATTATTGTTTGGCACTTGATTCAGACTACTAAAATAAGGAGTGCATGTTGTATTATAAATGCTGTAAGCTAAAGTAACAATATTAGTGTTCAAGCTATTTATTAGCATAAAATATAACAAGTAAATTTTTATTTCTCGCTTTAACATAACTGGCATTATAAGGGGGGTTGTTACCGAAATTCCAGTGTTGTCATCATTACGGTTTGTGGTACCTTATATATTTTTTAACTCGTCGGCCGTTTCCCACTGAGGCAGGGTGGCCCAAAAAGAAAGAAAAACCCAAAGGAAAGAAATGGTGTCCTGTAGCACGATCGCTAACACACTCAGCTCACACACTGAGGTCCAGAGTTCAAATCTCTGGTATGGCTGGAAAACATTAGGATATGCTTCCATAAGACACCTGCTGTCTCTGTTCGCCCATCAGTATAAAATGGGTACCTGGGCGTTAGTCGATGGGCAAGGTCACAGCCTGGGACAGAACTGACCTAATTTGCCCAAAATGCTCAGCATAACAAGTGGCTTTCTATACAGTAACATGTCAATGATGTCAGCTAGGCCTGTATACCTTGTATATGTACTTGTAGAAATAAAGATATTATTATTTTCATTAACACATCAGCCGTTTCCCACCAAGGCAGGGTACCCCGAAAAAGAAAAACTTCCATCATCATTTACTCCATCACTGTCTTGTCAGAGGCATGCCTACACTACAGTTATAAAACTGCAACAATAACACCCCTCCTTCAGAGTGCAGACACTGTACCTCCCATCTCCAGGACTCATGTCCGGCCTGCCGGTTTCCCTGAATCCCTTCATAAATGTCACTTTGCTTACACTCCAACAGCACATCAAGTCCTAAAAACCATTTGTCTCCATTCGCTCCTGTCTAACAGGCTCATGCACGCTTGCTGGAAGTCAAAGCCCCTTGCACACAAAACCTCCTTTACCCCCTCCCTCCAACCTTTCCTAGGCCGACCCCTACCCCGCTTTCCCTCCACTACAGATTTGTATACTCTCGAAGTCATTATATTTCTTTCCCTCCTCTCTACATGTCCAAACCGTCTCAATAACCCCTACTCAGCCCTTTGGATAATAGTTTTGGTAATCCCACACCTCCTAATCTCCAAACTATGGATTCTCTGCATTATATTCACACCACACAATGCCCTCAGACATGACATCTCCACTGCCTCCAGCCTTCTCCTTGTTGCACACCCATGCCTCACACCCATACAAAAGCATTGGTATAACTACTCTCATACATTCCCCATTTGCTTTTATGGATAAAGTTCTTTGCCTCCACAGACTCCTCAGTGCACCACTCACCTTTTTTCCCTTTGTCAATTCTATGATTCATCTCATCCTTCATAAACCCATCTGCTGACAAGTCCACTCCTAAATATCTGAACACATTCACCTCCTCCATACTCTCTCCCTCCAATCTGATGTTCAATCTTCCATTACCTAATCTTTTTGTTATCCTCATCACCTTACTATTTCCTACACTGACTTTTAACTTCCTTCTTTTACATACCCTACCAAACTCATCAACCAACCTCTGCAATTTCTCTCACTACTCCATCTATAAATATATTGAACAACCCTGGTGACATCACACATCCCTGTCTAAGGCCTACTTTTACTGAGAAATAATCCCCCTCTCACCTATATACTCTAACCTGAGCCTCACTATCCTCAAAAACTTTTCACAGCTTTCAATAACCTACCCCCTACTCCATACATTTTCAACATCTACCACACTGCTTCCTTATCCACCCTATCATATGCCTTTTCCAAATCCATAAATGCCACAAAAACCTTGTTACCCTTATCAAAATACTGTTCACTTGTGTGTTTCACTGCAAACACTTGGTCTACACACCCCCTACCTTTCCTAAAGCGTCCTTGTTCATCTGCTATCCTGCTCTCTGTCTTACTCATAATTCTATCAATAACAACTCTACCATACCATACCAGACTTATTCCCCTATAATTTTTACACTCTCTTTTGTCCCCCTTTGCCTTTATACAAAGGAACTATGCATGCTCTCTGCCAATCCCTAGGTACCTTACCCTCTACCATACATTTATTAAATAAAAACATTAACCACTCCAAAACTATATACCCACCTGCTTTTAACATTTCTATCTTTATCCCATCAATCCCAGCTGCTTTACCCCCTTTCATTCTACTCACTGCCGCATGCACCTCCCCCACACTCACAACTGGTTCTTCCTCACTCCTATAAGATGCTATTCCTTCTTGCCCTATATACAAAATCAGAGCTTCCCTATCTTCATCAACATTTAAGACCATTTATAAACTTTTATCATCATTCAACACTTTCACCATCACTCATATATAATCACTGTCTTTGCAGAGATGCTCAGATATGACAGTTTAGATGTCCCAAACCCCTCTTTTGAAGTGCAGGCATTGTACTTCCCATTTCCAGAACTCAAAGTCTGGCTAATGGTTTCCAGTGGCGGCTTGTGTATAGGCACTGCAGAGCTGCAGCACTCCCTATTTTCACTCGATATTATCTATAACATTGAATATAATGAGTCTTTTTTTCTTTAATTCTTTCTTTATACTTGTACATTATATAATCCTTAAGCTAAATGTCAACAGCCATCCCCTAGTAGGTAAAAAAATTACAAAAATCCTCGTATGGAACTGTGTGCTTCACAATTTGAGTAACCTGGTGTTTGGCTGTTGTGCACATGTGCACGTGTCTGAGATAAAACGCTGCACACTATGTAGAGAGAGAACTGTTGCTGATGCAGTGCCGCCCCTGTTGTGCAAATATAAGGTAGCGATTCTTTTTGACTCAACGATGTGTGTTGTGCTTGAAAACTATGTACCATATTCTTGAATGTGATAAAGTGTAGAATTAGATGATTATCCTGCTTTCAGCTACATGTATTTTATTTAATTCATAGTTTTTGTTTGGTTCTTTTATTTTACAGAGAATTTAGATAATTTAATCATGGCCTCCTTGCATCCCCAAGAAATAAGTTCTGTGACTATAAGTGAACTTCAACAGCTTAAGTTTTCATATTTGTCTCTCCATGAGCAAGTTACAGTTAAGAAAAGAGGCCATTCAACATAAGCTTGTTTCATTTTACACAATATTAAAACAATGGCTAAAACTTTTCTGAAGCAGCACCTCCACTAATTTTAGCTATGATCCACCACTACCAGTTTCCCTGAAACCCTTCACAAAATATTACCCTGCTCACACTCCAACAGCTCGTCAGGTCCCAAAAACTATTCTTCTCCATTCACTCCTATCTAACACACTCACAAATGTTTATATACATACTGTATATGTATATATATACAGGAGGGTCCTGCTTATACAGCAGGTTAGGTTCAGGCTACTGCTGTAAGACAAAAATCACTGTAAAGTCAAACATTGCCTTTTTTTCATTTTCAAATGCATATAAAACCATGATAACATGTTCACACTATCATATATTAAATGAGAAATAGAGCTAGACCTAAAAAATCATATACACATTACTTTCTTTTTTTTTAAATCACGATGGCCGTTTCCCACCGAGGCAGGGTGACCCAAAAAGAAAGAAAAACCCCAAAAAAGAAGAAAAAAAACTTTCATCGTCACTCGTACATAATCACTGTCTTTGAAGAGGAGCTCAGATACGACATGTAACATATTTTTGTCCTTAGCTTATAGTGAATGGTGGATATATTTATTGTAGGCAGTATGAATAAATGAAAAATGGGTATACTCAGTGAAAACCACTGCATTAGTGAAATGCCATAATGCAAAGCACTGTAAAGTGGGACCTGCCTGTACCATGGCTTCTGGCACCTTATACATATACGGCATGTGTTGCAAGGAAAATGTGGGAGCTTGGATAAATGGAGCAATCATTTGATTTGTATTAGTACTGTACTGTATGTAGTATTCAATTTTTTTCTTTAACGGTACCATGGTGGACATGGAAATAGTAACCCTTATGGTAGTCGTGGTACAGAAAAAATAACACAGCCTAACCTGATTTTACCTAATTGAAGTGCATTCACCTAGAAGATAAACCAAAATTATTGTTTGCAGTTGCTATCCTGTTGAACTCATCACTTAAGACTGCCACTACCTTCTGCCCACAACTGTAGAAAAAGCACTCAATCAAGGATACTGCACAGACATTCACTCATGGAAGGACTTCATTGGCAGTTAATGCCAACCAATAAGGAAACAAAATAATCTATTTGCTTTCTTACCTTAGAAGTTTGACAAGAATGTACAAAAGTACAATGGTGCCAACGCCAACAAACACATAGAAACCACGTAAAACTGCTTCTGGAGATATTCCTTTTAGGTCTCCCATAAGTTTGTGCTCATCTATAGACTCAGCATCACTTTTACCTAAGACAAAGAAATAATATTATGCATATGCTCATGTGTTTTTGACATGTGGAATCTGATGATAATGTACAAATAAATATTTTTTTTCTTTCTCTTTTTAACACATCGGCCGATTCCCACCAAGGCAGGGTGGCCCGAAAAAGAAAAACTTCCATCATCATTCACTCCATCACTGTCTTGCCAGAGGGGTGCTTTACACTACAGTTATAAAACTGCAACATTAACACCCCTCCTTCAGAGTGCAGACACTGTACTGTACTTCCCATCTCCAGGACTCAAATCCGGCCTGCCGGTTTCCGTAGATACGTTCATAAATGTTACTTTGCTCACACTCCAAGAGCACATCAAGTATTAAAAACCATTTGTCTCCATTCACTCCTATCAAATACGCTCACGCATGCTTGCTGGAAGTCCAAGCCCCTCGCACACAAAACCTCCTTTACCCCCCTCTCCCCAACCCTTCCTAGGCTGACCCCTACCCTGCCTTCCCTCCACTACAGATTTACGTATACACTCTCGAAGTCATTCTGTTTTGTTCCATTCTCTCTACATGTCTGAACCACCCCAACAACCCCTCCTCAGTCCTCTTGATAATAGTTTTGGTAATCCAACACCTTCTCTTAATTTCCAAACTACGAATTCTCTGCATTATATTCACACCACACATTGGCCTCAGACATGACATCTCCACTGCCTCCAGCCTCCAACTCAATGCAACATTCATTACCCATGCTTCACACCCACACAAGAGTGTTGGTACAACTATACTCTCATACATTCCCCTCTTTGCTTTCATGGACAAAGTTCTTTGTTTCCACAGACTCCTACGTGCACCACTCACCTTTTTCCCCTCATGAATTCTATGATTCACCTCATCCTTCATAGACCCATCCGCTGACACGTCCACTCCTAAATATCTGAATACATTCACCTCCTCCCTACTCTCTCCCTCCAATCTGATATCCAGTCTTTTGTCACCTAATCTTTTTGTTATCCTCATCACCTTACTCTTTCCTATAGTATTCACTTTCAATTTTCTTCTTTTACATACCATACCAAATTCATCCACCAACCTCTGCAACTTCTCTTCAGTCTCCCAAAAGCACAGTGTCATCAGCAAAGAGTAACTGTGACAACTCCCACTTTGTGTTTAATTCTTTATCTTTTAACTCCACGCCTCTTGCCAAGACCCTCGCATTCACTTCTCTTACAACCCCATCTATAAATATACTGAACAACCACACATCACACATCCTTGTCTAAGGCCTACTTTTACTGGGAAATAATCTCCCTCTCTCCTACATACTCTAACCTGAGCCTCACTATCCTCATAAAAACTCTTTACTGCTATACCACACACCTGCAACATCTGCCCCATTGCCCCCCTATCCACCCTGTTATATGCCTTTTCCAAATCCATAAATGCCACAAAAACCTCTTTACCCTTATCTAAATACTGTTCACCTATGTGTTTCACTGTAAACACTTCCTCTACACACCCCCTACATTTCCTAAGGCCTACTTGGTCATCTGCTATCCTACTCTCCGTCTTACACTTAATTCTTTCAATAATAACTACCATACACTTTACCAGGTATACTCAACAGACTTATTCCCCTATATTTTTTGCACTCTCTTGTAACCCCTTTGCCTTTATACAAAGGAACTGCATGCTCTCTGCCAATCCCTAGGTACCTTACCCTCTTCCATGCATTTATTAAATAATAGCACCAACCACTCCAAAACTATATCCCCACCTACTTTAAACATTTCTATCTTTATCCCATCGATCCCAGCTGCCTCAGCTCACACACTGAGGGTCTAGGATCAATCCCTAGCATGGGTGAAACACTGGGCATGTTTCCTTACACTTGCTGTTCTTGTTCACCTAGCAATAGGGTGTTAGCAGACTGTTGTGGGTCGCATCCTGGGGAACAAGATTAACCCGATTGGCTCGAAATGCTTTGCATAACAGCTTTCTATACAGTATAACAACGATGTTAACTAGATCTTTATCAGCTGTATTACGTACATATAAAAATAAATTATTATTGTTGTTACTTTCATAACAATTTCACAAAAAATGGTGGTAAATGGTATTAAGTACTGTACATATACCAAGAATTTAATTCTCCTTTAAATACTGTAAAGATAGCTTTTACAAAGTACAATATTGTACCAGAGCATACATAAAACCCTTGTACTTGAGTACTAATATAACTTCACACTGTATTTTTAACCAAGCACATTTCAGCAGGAATATGTCTCCTCCCACTGTTAATCAAAACAGCAGAAGTTACTGGAACAAGACAATTTAATCCAGCACTGGCATTTAAACTTTAATAATAGCAATGTTTTGTCTGATTTATTCTACATGCTTTTCCAAGTCACATTTTTTAAGCCATTTATCTGAATAAAACCAGGTAATCAAGAAAAATATTATCGTATAGTTCACAGAATTTATTAAGATCCATATTATGCCATGTACTGTATCTCTATATTAAAGACATATATATCATTCAGTGCCTGGGGATTAGGAGGCAATTGAGTTTGAGTAAAGGGAAGAACAAGTTCAATTCCTTGGAACAAGAGAAAAATAAACGATCAACCCATCTCTAAGACTCTGGAGTTAGCTGGTGATAATTGTGGTGGATAGAAGAGATTGTTTTCCCATGATCATAATGACAGAACTGTATAACCAATGAACTTTGTCTGTTCCCAAATTAACTGACCCAGCAGATTTTGTCCTGTATTTCTGGGACAAAATCTGCTGGGGCAATTGAGCAGAGGTTCAATAAACTGAGGGTTTACTGTACCTTCATAGTTCTGGAGTGGTTGGTGCTATTATTTAATAAATGTATGGAAGAGGGTAAGGTACCTAGGGATTGGCAGAGAACATGCATAGTTCCTCTGTATAAAGGCAAAGGGGACAAAAGAGAGTGCAAAAATTATAGGGGGATAAGTCTGGTAAAGTGTATGGCAGAGTTATTATTGAAAGAATTAAGAGTAAGACGGAGAATAGGATAGCAGATGAACAAGGAGGCTTTAGGAAATGTAGGGGGTGTGTGGACCAGGTGTTTACAGTGAAACATATAAGGGAACAGTATTTAGATAAGGCTAAAGAGGTTTTTGTGGCATTTATGGATTTGGAAAAGGTGTATAACAGGGTGGATAGGGGGGCAATGTGCCAGATGTTGCAGGCGTATGGTATAGGAGGTAGGCTACTGAAAGCAGTGAAGAGCTTTTACGAGGATAGTGAGGCTCAAGTTAGAGTATGTAGGAAAGAGGGAGATTATTTCCCAGTAAAAGTAGGCCTTAGACAAGGATGTGTGATGTCACCATGGTTGTTCAATATATTTATTGATGGGGTTGTAAGAGAAGTAAATGCGAGGGTCTTGGCAAGAGGCGTGGAGTTAAAAGATAAAGAATCACACATAAAGTGGGAGTTGTCACAGTTGCTCTTTGCTGATGACACTGTGCTCTTGGGAGATTCTGAAGAGAAGTTGCAGAGGCTGGTGGATGAATTTGGTAGGGTATGTAAAAGAAGAAAATTAAAAGTGAATACAGGAAAGAGTAAGGTTATGAGGATAACAAAAAGATCAGGCGATGAAAGATTGGATAAGAGATTGGAGGGACAGCGTATGGAGGAGGTGAATGTATTCAGATATTTGGGAGTGGACATGTCAGCGGATGGGTCTATGAAAGATGAGGTGAATCATAGAACTGATGAGGGGAAAAGGGTGAGTGGTGCACTTAGGAGTCTGTGGAGACAAAGAACTTTGTCCTTGGAAGCAAAGAGGGGAATGTATGAGAGAATAGTTTTACCAACGCCCTTATATGGGTGTGAAGCATGGGTGATGAATGTTGCAGCGAGGAGAAGGCTGGAGGCAGTGGAGATGTCATGTCCGAGGGAAAGGTGTGGTGTGAATATAATGCAGAGAATTCATAGTTTGGAAGTTAGGAGGAGTTGCAGGATTGCCAAAACTGTTGTCCAGAGGGCTGAAGAAGGTTTGTTGAGGTGGTTCGAACATGTACAGTGAATGGAGCGAAACAGAATGACTTCAAGAGTGTATCAGTCTGTAGTGGAAGGAAGGCGGAGTAGGGGTCGGCCTAGGAAAGGTTGGAGGGAGGGGATAAAGGAGGTTTTGTGTGCGAGGGGCTTGGACTTCCAGCGGGCATGCATGAGCGTGTTGATAGGAGTGAATGGAGACAAGTGGTTTTTAATACTTGACGTGCTGTTGGAGTGTTAGCAAAGTAACATTTATGAAGGAATTCAGGGAAACCGGCAGGCCGGACTTGAGTCCTGGAGATGGGAAGTACAGTGTCTGCACTCTGAAGGAAGGGTGTTAATGTTGCAGTTTAAAAACTGTAGTGTAAAGCACCCTTCTGGCAAGACAGTGATGGAGTGAATGACCTTGAAAATTTTTCTTTTTTCGGGCCACCCTGCCTTGGTGGGAATTGGCAAGTGTGTTAATAATAAAAAAAAAAAAAATTCTGATCATGCAGAGTTTATCATTACTTACTCAGTATTGTGTAATTATATCTCTCCATGCTAAATTGGGAAAAAAAATTAAACCCACAAAATGGAGGGATTCATCATAGGTTGTAGGCCATATCTGAAGTAAACCGTGCAAAACAGATATTATTCTAGTATAACTCAACATATCCTAGCAGTATGGTATTTTTTTTGGATTATCCTAGGTAATCTACACATATGTTTCTATGTTTGATAATTTATGTAATTGTATTTGTGTACCTATTCCCATATAAACTTTCTTAGGTTCTTCTTAGAGTGCAGCTCACAAGTCACGTAATGCTGTTGCAAGTAAAAAACACTTATTTAGGCACAGGTACACACAAGTACAGTTATACATGGTGTAAATTACCTAGGATAACCCAAAAAAGTCTATGTGACTTATTTCCATTGAAGACAAGCAGATGTATAGAGGTATTCCTTACTCCCCGCCTAGTTATTAGACCAAGGCCCTCTCAGCAATGAGCAGAATGCTATAAAACAGATTTGTATATTATTATTATTGTAATCAAGGGGGAGTGCTAAACCCATAGGATTAAGCAGCGCTTAATTCAGGGAACCAGAGCACAGATCAAGAGCCCCTCACCAATATCAAGGAACCTTCCTTGAGGGGGCAGATTTGCATAATTAACATCATTAATCAAACAAATCCAACAAATTCTGTGTTGAGCACACCTGCATCACTTCTGTTTGCCATGTTTTTCTCACTAACTTGATCCTGGCCGTCTGCGCTTTCATGGTTCTGGGTTGTCACTTCCTCAGTCTCTTCCCCACCAGTGGTTCCCTGAATTTCCTTGACAGTGGGTGCTGCCGACATTGACCTGGAAGGCTTGGGAGCAGAATTATCATCATCTTCCCCAGACTTCACTTGGCTTTCTGGAGCTTCACGTCTGACCACAGTAACACCACTGCTGCCACGGTGAGCCTTCACGCTCCCTCCTGACAACCATGCTGCATTATAATGTGACCCTTCAGCACCTTCCACGCTCGAGATAATCAAGAAAACAATAAAACCGGCGATAACTTTCCCTACAAATGGCTCGAATATGATCTTTGATAAGCTGGTACGGCATCTTGTGGCTGCAAGAGAATCCTTGAGCGTGGTGATCCTACGATGGTTGGCTCCTTCACTATGCCCCATCATGTGAGGAGGAAGATGGTGAGCCATTATAGTCTTGGAAGAGGCTAGAGGCAATGTAAGTGCTGAAGAAGACGACGTAACATTGTGCCAGCAAGACACAGACGTCACCTCCAGCACGTCACTGTTGTCATCACAGAATCCAGGAAAATTCTCTCCTCCTCTTCGTATACAATATTTTTCATCTACTTCTACTGACTTTTTAACCATTTCTATAGTTTCACATTTTATTTTAGTAAATCAGCTAGTCAGCCATCTGTATTATTCCTATATAACAATTAAATCCTATTTTTAGAACATTTACTGACGTGATCTTTAAGTCTAGTTCTTACGTGTAAATATTTATTCTGAAGTGATATTGCAAGGACATTGATACTAAAGCTTCATATATGTTTATAAAGATAGTATATAAAAATAAAATATCACTGAATAAATAAATTTAAAAATAACATGATATCCTCTTAATGGCTCGTGTGGTGTAATATATAGTCTTTAATTATCATCATTAAATGTATCTCATTGTGTGATTACGGTTATTTTGATCAATAATTGAATAATTCCAGCAGATTTATAGTTATAGATTTACAGTGGTTTTTTTCCCACGGATATATGACCCACAACAGTCAACACCTCGTGTACAAATACTCTATTCGCAATATACTCTAATAATATAAAAAAGGTACCCTTATATATCTCTTATAAACATGTTCTAATATGTTTTCACTTGTAAATGTCTATTACTTTCCGACATCTGAAATATTGCACAATACTGGCGCAACTACAAACGTTTACTGACACCTGACTTTTTTGGAGGGCTATCCTAGGTAATTTACACGTTAATAGGTAATTGTACTTACGTGTACCTGTACCTAAATAAATTTACCTACTTATTTACCTATTGCCCCTATTCATTTATAGTGAGTAAGTACCTGAGTGCTATCAGACGGATCTAAAGATCCCAATTCAATTCAATTCAATTCAAAGTTTATTCTCTATAAAGATTACAATGTTGAATTTACAGAATTTGGTTGTTGTGTGGTTTACATGTAGTTAAATAATGATTACAGAGTGTACCACTAGAACGCCTAGCATGGCTAGGCATTTCGGGCAGACTTAATTTAGTTCGTTATTTTAAAATATTACAAATTATGAGGTAAGTTGGTATTATGGCTAAGTGACTAAATACTAGTTTGTGAGTTTAGCAATGTGAATGCTTTTGTTTTGGCACAGTACATAGTTTCAGTATTGGAGTATCATAGGATTCATTATTTTAAGACTGAGATTAATATTTCTGTTTATGGTCAAATGGGTGAGTGAGTGTAAGTGTGAACCACCAGGTGGTATTCGTGTAGTTAGTTGATGGGGTGTATCAGGGAGATAAGATGTTTTCTAATGGTAGTTTTGAAGGTGGTGAATGTGTCTGCAGTTCTAGAGTTCTCAGGTAGGGTGTTCCAGATTAAATGCCTGTATCTCAATGCATCCAAAAGGAATAGTGCAGAGTGTAACTGTGCTCTGAAAGTTCCTGATGCAGTTAAATATCAGCGTTGAAGAGTTGAAGTCAATCAAAAGAATTATTCACATGTTACAGCATAGAAACCGATATCCCAATTTCTTCAGTAAAAGAATGATATATCGACACCTACACAGCCTATAACTTATTCGAACCTTCCACCAAGATGCACTAAATTGAAAATTTGAAACCAATTAAAATGGGTAATTTTATTTTATCACCCAGAAATTATCTCAAAATACACCAGCACCGTAATTTCTGGTGTATAATCAAGTTTGATCCTAAGAAAGGGAAGGCAGCCTCACTTCCTGCTCCCAACCAGCATTAATTAAGGGACCCCCGTGACCTCGTCTTTTTCTTCCTTTTACTAGCACTATATAATGGTATGCAATTACAAGAGTAGTTGAAGCTAGCACTGTACTGGCACTACTACAGCACAGTGCCAGGAACTCAGTGTAACTCAGTTATTTACACTAACACATTTGCTTTGCAAGTTATGTACTTATTAATTTAATTATAATAATCATACATTCCCGATAAGTTTATTTTGGTATCTTGGGTCAGATTAAATGCTGTACAGCTAGGGCAAGGTGATGGCTGTGTCTGCCAAATATTTCTAAGATTCAAATTCAATTCAAATTCAAAGTTTATTCTCTATAAGGATTACAATGCTGAGTTTACAGAAATTTGGTTATTGTGTGGTTTACATGTAGTAAAATTGTGATTACAGAGTGTACCACTAGAACGCTTAGCATGGCTAGGCATTTCGGGCATACTTAGTTTTATTCTTAATTGTAAAATATTACAAATTATGAGGTAAGTTGGTATTATGGCTAAGTGACTAAATACTAGTTTGTGAGTTTAGCAATGTGAATGCTTTTGTTTTGGCACAGTACATAGTTTCAGTATTGGAGTATCACAGGATTCATTATTTTAAGATTGAGATTAATATTTCTGTTTATGGTCAAATGAGTGAGTGAGTGTAAGTGTGAACCACCAGGTGGTATTCGTGTAGTTAGTTGACGGGGTGTATCAGGGAGATAAGATGTTTTCTAATGGTAGTTTTGAAGGTGATGAATGTGTCTGCAGTTCTAGAGTTCTCAGGTAGGGTATTCCAGATTTTAGGGCCCTTGACATACATTGAATTTTTGTAAAGGTTTAGTCAGACACGGGGAATGTCGTAGAGATGTTTGTGTCTGGTGGTGTTATGCCTGTGAGTTCTGTCACAACTATCAAGAAAGCGTTTTAGGTCAAGGTTGATATTAGAGTTTAAGGCCCTGTAGATGTAGATTGCACAGTAGTAAGTGTGGATGTACTGAACTGGGAGTAAGTTTAGGTCTATGAAGAGTGGGGGGGTGTGTTGCCAGGGATGGGATTTAGTGATTATTCTTACTGCAGCTTTTTGTTGGGTTATTATTGGCTTTAGGTGTGTTGCTGCAGTTGATCCCCAAGCACAAATAGCATAGGTGAGGTATGGATAAATAAGTGAGTGGTATAGTGTGAGAAGGACATTTTGCGGCACGTAGTATCGTATCTTGGAGAGGATCCCAACCGTTTTGGATACTTTTTTGGTTATATGCTGGATATGGGTGCTGAAATTCAGGTTGTTGCCAAGGTATAAGCCTAGGAATTTTCCCCCATTATTTCTGGTAATTAGAGTGTTGTCAATCTTAATGTTAATTTGTGCATCTCCTGCTCTGCTACCAAACATAATATAGTAGGTTTTGTCAGTGTTAAGCGTAAGTTTATTGGCTGTCATCCAAGTCGATATTTTAATCAGCTCATCGGTTGTCTACTAAGGACCCCAATGGAAATAAGTCACTCTGTCTGACTTTTTTGGGTTATCCTAGGTTCCCTACACATATGCTGCTATGTATGATAATTCTATGTAACTGTATTTGTGTTTACCTGAATAAACTTACTTACTTACTCATTCACAATGGTGTTGAGGGTGGCAAGATTAGGGTGAGAGATGACGTAAGTCGTGTCATCAGCAAAGAGAATGGGTTTCAGGTGTTGGGATACGTTTGGAAGGTCATTGATGTATATGAGGAAGAGCAGGGGACCAAGGACACTTCCCTGCGGAACTCGAGTATCAAGATGGAAACATGCTTGAGTTTTAGCGAGTGTTGTTAGTAGCGATGAGAGCAAATTCCATACAACATCTGCAACGTAGACAAGGTTCCTTGATGACAAAGCCATGAGTTCTGGAAGTTCATGAGATGGTTGTGTGTGCCAAAGGGAAGCTATTATTACATCAGTGGCATACAGTACCAATGTGGTGATAAACTGGACATTTCATCTTCCAGTCTTGTGTATATAATTCTGCAAGGCTAAGAATTAATCACCTCACCTTCCACTGTTTTCTGTACATATCTCTGTTGAACTAATAAAGCCACTGATTGGCGAAACGTCTTCAAAATAAAGTTACCCAGGTGTTACATGTATTTAATTCATTATCAGGGAAACTGCTGACCGCTACTGCATTATCCTTCTGGCTGCATAAGTCCTGTCATATCTATTTTTCAAGCATGTCTGTCTAGGTCGTTTTACTTCCTGACCACTTTAAGGTTACAGAAGTATTTCTTAACATCCCTGTGACTCCTGTGTTTATAACTTACTGCTGTGCCCTCGTGTACCTGAGACCTGCCTCTCCAACAAACTTGAAATGCTCGAAACAATGTTCTTCCCGAAGTCCTCTTTCAGGGAGGCTTGCAGATTTTGTCCTCTGTACTCTGTTTCCGGTCTTTTCTCTTTTCAGTTTTTCATAACTTTGCATTTTCTGGGGTTACATTCAACTAGTCACATGTCAGACCATTCCTGCAGCTTGTTCGGATCAAGGTGTAGATTTTTCCTGGTCTGCCATCTGCGAACAGAGGAAGCAGATTATATAGCAGTCCTGGCGCCACTCTAGAAGAAGAAGCAGATTATATAGCAGTCCTGGCGCCACTAGAAGAGGAAGCGGATTATATAGCAGTTCTTGCGCCACTCTAGAAGAAGCAGATTATATAGCAATCCTGGCGCCACTAGAAGAGGAAGCAGATTATATAGCAGTCCTGGCACCACTAGAAGAAGCAGATTATATAGCAGTCCTGGCGCCACTAGAAGAGGAAGCGGATTATATAACAGTCCTGGCGCCACTAGAAGAGGAAGCAGATTATATAGCAGTCCTGGCACCACTAGAAGAAGCAGATTATATAGCAGTCCTGGCGCCACTAGAAGAGGAAGCGGATTATATAGCAGTCCTGGCGCCACTAGAAGAGGAAGCAGATTATATAGCAGTCCTGGCACCACTAGAAGAAGCAGATTATATAGCAGTCCTGGCGCCACTAGAAGAGGAAGCGGATTATATAGCAGTTCTGGCGCCACTCTAGAAGAAGCAGATTATATAGCAATCCTGGCGCCACTAGAAGAGGAAGCAGATTATATAGCAGTCCTGGCACCACTAGAAGAAGCAGATTATATAGCAGTCCTGGCGCCACTAGAAGAGGAAGCGGATTATATAGCAGTTCTGGCGCCACTCTAGAAGAAGCAGATTATATAGCAATCCTGGCGCCACTAGAAGAGGAAGCAGATTATATAGCAATCCTGGCGCCACTAGAAGAGGAAGCAGATTATATAGCAGTCCTGGCACCACTAGAAGAAGCAGATTATATAGCAGTCCTGGCGCCACTAGAAGAGGAAGCGGATTATATAACAGTCCTGGCGCCACTAG